CCACCCCAAAAAAATTTTCGGTGGCCCTCCCCCCATTTTTCCAGTCAATGTCTCTTTCTCCCTCCGTAAATTCCCGAATGAAGTACGCATCCCGATTAAAGTACGCACCCCCGATTTGGGGCTGGTGGGAGACAAATATTCCCGTCTGAAACGTAAAATGGAAAAACTCGAATTAAGTACGCACCCCTTCTACGCACGGCCGGTACCACAGTGAACATGTAGTATGTATGTCTTAAAGACAGTTCGTCGTTCCAAACAAATTTAAAATTGTTAAAAACTAGATTTATGCTGTGTACTACGTGATGGTATGGTTTTTCACCGCCGGCCGCAGCCGACTTGCAAGACGTCACCACCGCATCGAAAGGTATTAAAGGCAAGTGCGGCGGAACGTACAGATTTGGATCCAGCTTTGGAGTGTTGGTGATCAAGCAAGCAATGGTCAATAAAGATTCGTGAAAAAAAGACAATATTTCAATATTGATTTTATCGGTAACGGGGGGTAGTTGAATGTTGATGTAAAAGTACGTAGCTTTAATGTTTTTAATACGAAATGCGCCGAACACTTCTTTAATAGCGCCCGCCCGATCGACCCATGGAGAGCAACAATCATACAGGCGGAGAACTGGGCGGAGTATTTGGGTGTAGAGGTGCTACCGAATTTAAAATTTGACACCGAAACCAATTAACACAACAACAAAAGACTACTGGGATCAATGGGACTTTCGATTCCGAACAGGAGAAAGTGACAAGTTTGACTGCGTTTCAAGTAATCTCTCGTTATGTGATAGATGTTTTTGTCACAAAATCTAAGGAATAAACACGTATTAATTTGTACTCCGTAAAACTTATAAATCTCCCAGCTGGATCTTTGAATCCTCACCAGCAGATGAGATAAAACTGTAGATACGGTGTATTTTGTCCTAATGTGTTAGAGGACTGTTACCTTAACAAACAGGAAAGCCTGGGCTGTACACTACTTCTACTATTAGACTAAGTTCTGCTGTTATTTTGGAAAATAAACTCCAAAAACATTTAGAAAATTGACTGGTTAATGATTAACTGTTGAGCCCAAGATTGTCTCCTGCTGACCAATGGTGATACCATGTAACAGGCTACCTGTGGTGTGAGGGGTCATCAATCACAGCTTCTCCACCCTTTGCTCGAGAGCCTTTCCTAAGAGACCCTACCAGACCCTAGCACACTGAGATATTTTGTGTCCAGTGTGCTTTGGGTCTGGCATCCAGGCTACGCATGCCACGGCCCTCTCTGTGTTCTTCAGCTGTAGGTGTACTTTGCCTGTCGGCGCGCCAAACACCCCGCCCACTGGCCGGGCGGTAAGATTTCATCAAAGACTACATTTTACGTAAACTCCGCCCCTATCATTGTACCTTGCCGAACAGTCGAGTAGGAGTACATCTAGCTGGATTTTTCACGTCGTACTGGCTGGTGTAGCCCGCTATAAAGTAATTTCCTGTGGCATTTATCAAGATTTAAAAATATTTGTGATACGAAGTGAAACATGGTTAACAATTTCTGAACCTTTGAAACGACGTGTTGAAGATTCCTGAGTTGAACTCAAGCCGGAAGTGTATTTGAAATGATGACCATCAGTCGAGGCACAACTGTTATCACATGTTACGTTACGACAATCAAGAACGTTCACGGCTTGCGGACCATTTCAAATATTACCACTCATAAACCCTACAATTGTATGTGTACTTACGGGAGGTTGTATTTTTGCCCGGGTTCCACTGAGATCGGCGCCGGCTAGCTGGGGAACGATCCTGTCGGCATGACAAAGCGCCGGGCGTCATTGCCAGAGACCTACATTTTCTTACCGTGGGTGACTTGACTTCTTCTTTTACCGCAACTTGGTGTCAATATCGACGATAGTCACAGGAAATATGTTCATTTATTGAAGTTTAACTTTATTTCCACTCATCAATATTCTTATCTAAAGATGCTATAGACAATCGATGTCGTTCCAAGTTCCCCGTGCCGGTGTTCCGCTATATTCCTGGGTCGTCCACGGATTTGTCGGCGGAAAACTCAAATAAAGTACGCACCGCGAATTTGGCGACGGCCCGAGACACTTCTGGGATTTTGAAAAATGTAAAAAGTGCGTACTATATTCGGGAATTTACGGCGTATTTCTTGTAATTCGGTACTACGTGACGCCATATTTTACAAAAGTTTTTCGGTGGCCTCCCCCCAGGCCGATTTTGTTTTCGATGGCCCTCCCCCGGCTCAAATTTTTTTCGATGGCCCTCCCCCAGGCCAAAAAATTTTTCAATGGCCCTCCCCTCCAGTGCACCAGCCCTCCCCCCCGGTAAATATCGTACAGTCCCTAAATGCTTAGTGGTGCAGGTAAAATTTGGTTTTGAATGTGCACCAGTGCAAGCATGCAAAAAAGAGATTTTGACCCCTGACTTCTGAGTATGTAGTAGCTCATCATTATAATTGAGTAACACAACAAGTTTTTGAATGGTCAAAGTATTTTAAGCATTTACTAGTAGTGTAAATTGTTATTCTGCCCCTGCAGATCTAAAATGGTAAAGAATTGTGAAGTATAAGGCCTAGGGAAAAAAATGTTTTTCTGTTACCCGATTGACACTAGAAAAAAACCCTGACCCGAGCCTTTTTGGGGGGGTCAGCCATTGAAGAGATATGTACGATTTTTTAGTGGTACAGACTTGTACACTGGGCCAAATCAGAACCAAACCTAACATTTTGGTTCAAGTCCAAAAGAAACCTGAATACAAGTGTACAGATGCATTACACTAGTGATATATAATTATTCAACTGTACATGTATATTTGTTGGATCACTTTGTCTAACATTTAAAAAAGATAAAGTGAATCCCTATCTACCGAACCTAAATTTTTTCACAGCTGTATTAGGATGAATTTTCCTAGGCCTGAAGTTCTGATATCATGATTATCTGAAATGTTCATCCCTATTTCTTCTGCAGTCTTTGATAAAGGAAGAGCTACAAGAGAGCCAAGGGATGTGTGAATATGCTATCTATGTGCAAGGTAGGAACTTTCTAGCCTCAACTTTTTAAATTATATCCTATACAATGTAGGAACTTTCTAGCCTAAACTTTTTAAATTATATCCTACACGTATGTAGGAACTTTCTAGCCTAAACTTTTAAATATACATTGTATACAATGTATGCCACTCTAAGGCCACAATAATCTAATCATTGGTTCTGAGATTTCCCGCTTCATTTTTTTCTGACATTTTTTTCAATTATATCCTTACAATGTAGGGACATTCTAGCCTAAACTTTTAAATATACATTGTATACAATGTATGCCACTCTAAGGCCACAATAATTTAGTCATTGGTTCTGAGACTTCCTGCTTCATTTTTCTGACATGCAAGAAAATCTGGTTCTATATCAAGTCCAAAACCTAGGCTGTATCTTTAGCCAAAACAAATACATTTGTACTAGGTAAATAGATAGACACCTTTGATCAAACCAGTAACCTGCTGCCAGAAAAGGGAATTAGTAACAGTTTGAAAAGTTAGTTTCTGTCCAAGTTTTGATAATGTTATGCCAAAAAGCAGTTCCTCAAGCAACCGAATATAATTTTGGAAACAGTCAGACGTTTCAGGTAGCATCCACTACTTTTCGTCAGTGACGCTGGAGACTCGTCAGAAAAGCAGGTTTATAAGTGCGAACTATTGATTGATATGCAAAGAATTGAAGACAACTTTTTTGAAGGTCTAAAATGAAACAAAACTTAAGTGTCGTCAATTATACTTATAAACCTGCTTTTCTGACAACTCCCCAGTGTCACTGATAATAGGTAATGTCTGACCGTTTCTAAAGTCATATCCAGTTTGCTTGAGTGACTCTTTTTTTGTGTGTATCTTAGGCCACACCAATTTAATTTCTTGGTTAACGGATTCGCCCGCTTCATTTTTTTATGATTTGCAAAAAAAAAAAAAAATATTCAGAATCAACTGCAAAATGCTCATATTTTGCCCTGAACAGTTGAAAACAGTCCTTTTCTTCCTAGTTGTTACAGTTATTCCATCTTTCAATGCAATGGTATCATTAAAAGTTCAACATTCATTGTTTAAATTTTGAACCAGCCAGGTGTGTTGACTTCATGGCTCCTATCGTACCATTTTGGGCCATAATAGGATGCCTAGGCCTGTTTTTATTTTTTTTGCCCACCCATTCCATTATTTTTCTAGAAAAATCCGTTAACCAAGAAATTAAATTGGTCTGGCCTTATTACCTGGCTGTCTAACCTTCACCGACATATTTTGCTGATGTTGTGTTGTTTGTTGGTCAGCTCTGATCATGAGACAGGAGGGGAACATACAGGAGTCTCTGGAGCTGTTCCAGACATGCTCGCTGCTCAACCCACAGAGTGTGGAGAACCTCAAACAAGTGGCACGATCCTTGTCAGTATCAAATACTTAATATTATATTTTTGGTTCAGGTACAGTCAAACTTGTCTAGGACGACCACTCGGGATCGAGGAAAAGTGGTCTTCGCTTTATTAGACAAAAAACATGGGAACAAGATATCGTGGGGTCGTGTGGCGCAACGGCAGTGTGCGCGACTCGGAACCTAGAGCTCCCGGGTTCGAGTCCTGACATGCCACCGATCTTGTGCCCTTGGGATAGGCACTTTACACGACTTTCCCCACTAGACTCAAGTGAAAATGAGTATTGTCTGTCCAGTATACGGTTCTATGTGCGGGACACAACACCAGCAACAGCTGCCTCTGTTCCACGTGTATTGCATTGTTGCAATTTCAATTAAAAAAAAATGGGAACAAGAAACGTGTATGACCGAAAAAGAAAACTGCAGCAAAGTTTCCACCCATTTTACAATAGACTGCCCCGTCGACCCAAAATGACCCAGTCGGTACCATTTTACATTACGCAGATACAGTAACTGCCTGCTGTCCAAATCATTGGCAATCTGTCCAAATCCATCAAAATTTCTTGCTAGTTACAGGACTCGAAATACTGGGTGCATGTGCACGTTAGTGCACCCAAATTTGGAGCTGTGCACCTAACTCTTTTCTGTGGGGGCACCAGTGCACCCAAATGTTTTTGTAAGTTTACGTATGTAATGATGTTAAATGTATAGTAGTTTCTATGTATCAGAAAAAGGTAATAAAAATCATTGTTGTAGTACTTTTCTTTAGAAATGAAACACTTTGCTGAATGTTTTTGCTGACATATATTCTACTTACTCTACATGTATCTCATATGGTGCACCCCCCCCCCCCAAATTTTGTGCACCTACTTTTCTAGCTTGGGTGCACCAGTGCACCTATTCCCCAAAATGAATTTCGAGCCCTGTAGTTATCAAGAAATGTTTTCTGCCACACAGTGAATTCACGCGGTCGTCATAGGCAGAAACTGGGCCATGAGTGGTCCAGAGTAGTGCTGGTCACAGTTGTGTTGGACAAGTGGTCAGCGTAGGCAAGTCCCTTACATAATGTTTCTGTCTGTGGGGAAAAAATTGGGACAGAAAAAATTGTTGTTATGACCAAATGGCCGGCTTATAGAGGTGGTCACTTGGGCAAGTTTGACTGTATGTGATATACAGTTACCTGAATATGAACACAACATGAGGTTACTCGCTGCACGTATATAGTACCTTTATCTGAGATAACATAACTTATATCATACCTTGGCCGCGATAACGTTCGATAACGGGCTCCATGGCTTCCATAGAACAATTTGTACGCGTTTAGCCCTAACCGCGAGCGCCAATTTCGAAAATTCGAATACAGAATCCGAATGTTGGAACTGATGTTGTTGCATTTGAAGGTTTAGGGGCACCAACTTTTGGCTCATCTTGCATTGAAAGGCGTGTTTTCTTGGGTGGGTATGACATACATAAAATACAACACGGGGTATTCCACATCGGGATATCGATACGGAATACCCCGTGTTGTATTCTATATTTACAATCATCATAATCGTATGCACATCAAAATACCTTAATGTAACAATGACATAAGCTTGGTTGGGAAATAGCTGGAAATATAAAAATCCTATGTAAAAAATCCATCTGGATAATACAGGAGGCAGGTGTTTTCTGTCAGATGGGTTGAAATAAAGATGAATTTGTCAGAATGTGGCTCCTCTAGTAAGCAAGACAGAATAAAAGGGAAAAAGAAAGACAGAAGCATTCAGTATGTACACAGCTTGTTGGCAGAACATACTGCGCCTGTGCAAAACATGGATTTTTCATGGTTTTCATTGAATGTTTAGTCAATGTTGCAATGTAGAATTTTTCCTGTTGACACCATATTTGAAAACTATAGATGGGATGTCGTCCTTATATACGTGTACCACCTTAAACAAGACATTTTATTATGCACAATAAGTTACGGATTCCGCACAGGCGCAGTACATTCTATTGACTTGTAAACCCATACATGTATTGTCTTCTATAGCTAGACTAAGTCTTACAGTTATTTTTAAATTGCCCACATATGTAGCAAACACATTAAGTTATTTACCAAGGCTGTTTTTCTACCCGTAGGTTCCTTCTGGGCAAGCACAAGTCTGCCATTGATGTTTACAATGAAGCATCCAAAATGAACATGAAAGACTGGGTAAGATCTTTCACTACAATTATTAGTCTAGGATTACAGTTACAATTGCCTACATTATGTCTTAGGCCATGTTGATTTGATTATATGGATGACATCCACTAGGAACCCCAAAACTGACGCGAGCAAAATAAAAAAAAAAGTATATTTGTCCAATTCCTTGCCACTACTGAAAAAAGTTTGGCAAAAAAAGTTTCCTTCATTACTAAATCTACGTGGTCATAAAGGGTGAACAAATGACTTAACACACAGAGTATGGTATAGCGTATAATGATAGACTCTTCATTTTCATTTCTTCACATTTTCTTCTTTTCTTGAATTGATTTTGGCATTCTGTTACATTAGTATCGTTTTCCAATGCTTTTTTTTTGCAACATACAACATGTATTCGCTCATTTTGTACGATTTACAATATGGTCGAAAACTTTTTTTTTAGAAACGGACGAAAATTCATGCGCCCGCGGATGTCATCCATATATATATTTTTTTTAAAAATCAAATCAACATGGCCTTATTAGCCTGTCAATGTTTCTATGATCCATGTTCCTATATCTTTGTTTGGTATCATTTAGAATTATGTCTGATTATTATGATATACATGTAATATCTTACCTGCATCATCAGATTAATGATAAAATTTTGAGATGAAACCTTGCCAGGATCTTGATATATTTTGATAATTTAAAGGAGTTTCACATATGAAATGTATGTAACTTTTTGAGTTGAAAAACTTAAGATAGATTTATATGCTAACATTTATACCTCCGGGCTTTTTATTGTATATTTTGTAATTTGTCATGTATAGTTGATGGTGTTGAATTGTATGTGTTAGAGAAGATGCATGTGCACAACAACAATTGTTGCGTGCCGCAGGACTAGGGGTTTAAACAAAGAATTTATCAAGACCGGACACCCCTCTGTGTGAGGGGTCATATACGTGGACCAGACCGAGAATATCTTAAACATGCCAAAGGTCAATGGTCGCGACCATTTTCACACTCAAAGGGGTGTTCTGGGGCCACCAAAAGGCACCATTTTCACGCCCGAAAACACTTATACAATAAAAACAAAAGAACGTGCATCATCTACAGCCCAATAGCAAAACATATACCGAGTCCAAAAAAAATCCATCCACCCAAACGCGAAAAACAGCTGCGATCATGAAAATCTAAATCTCTCACAAAACCCTTCCGCGGAAGGATGTCTCCTCCCCCGGAGGTAATTACATGTACAAGCTTCCATAATCAATGAAGCAAATCCAAAAAAGACACTTTTTATTGAAGCTCATACATTTGTATTTCATGGAGGTACATGTACATGTGTGAGATCTCTGAATTGTGGTTGTTATTTAGGAGATCTTCCACAACCTTGGAGTGTGCTACTTGTTCCTGAAGGAGTACAGCAAGGCTAAGGAGAACCTGAAGCTGGCTATCCAGTACAGCCGGCACGAGGTGTCCTTCCAGATGCTGGCCAGAGTCTACCTGTTGGAACATGATGTGGACATGGCTCTGGACATCTATAAACGAGCTGTGGAGTCAGTTCTAATCTCAGCAATCTCAATCTTCCTTAATTTCTTTTTAATTCTGTTCATTTTTTTTAAAAAATTCCGTTAGGCCACACCAATTTAATTTCTTGGTTAACGGATTTGCCCACTTCATTTTTTTCTGAGTTGACAAAAAAAAAAAATCAATTGCAAAATGCTCATATTTTGCCCTGAAAAGTTGAAAACAGTCCTTTTCTTCCTAGTTGTTACAGTTATTCCATCTATGATCTTTCAATGCAGTGGTTTCATTAAAAGTTCAAAATTCATTGTTTAAATTTTGAACCAGCCTGGTGTGTTGACTTCATGGCTCCTATGGTACCATTTTGGGCCATAATATGGCCTAGGCCTGTTTTTATTTTTGTTTTCGCCCGCCCGCTCCATTATTTTTCTAGAAAAATCCGTTAACCAAGAAATAAAATTGTTGTGGCCTTACTTTCTTTTAATCATTATAGTATCGTTTATTATTCTAAGTCTAAAGGAGTTGGGCTCAGTAGAAGCCTACTAGGCTAACCCCCACCCTCCTGCACACTGTTTTTCTGTCCATTAGGCCACACCAATTTAATTTCTTGGTTAACGGATTTTTCTAGAAAAATAATGGAGCGGGCGGGAGAAAAAATGAAAATAAAAACAGGCCTAGGCAATCCTATTATGGCCCAAAATGGCACGATAGGAGCCATGAAGTCAACACACCAGGATGGTTCAAAATTTAAACAATGAATTTTGAACTTTTAATGATACCATTGCATTGAAAGATGGAATAACTCTAACAACTAGGAAGAAAAGGACTGTTTTCAATTGTTCTGGGCAAAATATCAGCATTTGGCATTTTTTTTGCAAATAAGAAAAAAATGAAGCGGGTGAATCCGTTAACCAAGAAATTAAATTGGTGTGGCCTTATATTCTTTATTATGTTATGTTTATACATTGTGCATATAAATAAAACAAACAAAAACATCAGTGTTAAAGGCATCCAGTGAAATTTCAGGGCAGCAAAACAAAAAGAAAAAAAAATTGCTGGATGAGGAAAGCTGTCTGATACTGACATTTAAGTTCTTAACACATTATCGTTGTCATTTGAAGCATTTGAAATAGTCCCCAAACAACATATATGAGGTGTCTCTTTATTTTTAGAGTACAGCCCATAAGTAGCTAGAACCAGTCTACAATACAAAATAAGCAACTGTTTTCCGTCAGCAACATCTCATTTTTGCATTACGGAAGACTCGAGATCTGTTTGTTATAATAAATATCTTTTACTAGTAAAAGTGGGGTGATTAGAAATACAGTTGTATGTGAACAGGTACGGTGTAACTGACTGCTGTTTTTGATGCAGATTCTCTCCTGAAAACCCAGACCTTCTCACAAACCTAGGCCTGCTGTATCTTCAGGTAAGCATAGTTATAACATGTTCTGTAGGAAGGTGTCATTTCTTGCTTATGTATACATTTGAATATGATTTGTGTTAAATTAAGGTACAATATACAGTCAAACTTGTCTAAGACCACTACCCAACAATAAGGGGTCTTCTTACTAATAATTGACAAGTGGTCTTCTTATACAAAAAGTTCCCCCGTGTTGATTGACCCAAAGTGACCCAGCTTCAGCCATTTTGCTTTGCGCAGTCAGACTGTCAGGATGTCATTATCAATGGCAAACTGCTGGATTCCATCAAGATTGCTGACTAGTGATGCATACCTAAACCCACATTTAGGTTCAGGTCCGGACTCAAGTCCAGAGGTTTAGGTTCAGTTCTGGACTTGCAAGTCCGGACCTAAACCCATGGCATATACAAAATTGCATGTTGGCAACCTTGCAATGTTGTTTGGGCAAAACTTTGGCCACATAACATGGAGGCTGAAACTTGACGATGCCCGATGGCAATGTTTTCTTCATTTTGCAGCAAAGATTTTGCAATCTACGGACGGTTTTAGGTGGTTTGGAAAGAAAGGGGTACTATGTGAAATGGTCTTTTATGGTAATAAGTCCGGATTCGGTTCTTTTAGGTTTTTTGGACTTGAACCTAAACATTCTTACAAGTCCGGATCAAAATCCAGTGAACCGGTATGCAGCACTATTTCTGAATTGACATTGTTATCATAAAAAAACTTTAGATAAGGCAGTCATTTTAGGCAGAGATTGGGCCATGTGAGGTCCCAAATAGTGCCAGTCGTGGCCACGTTGGACAAGCGGTCGGCTTATGCAAGTCTCTTAATGCTTACTACCTGTTTGGCGAAAACTTAGGACAGAGAAAAAGCAATCATTGTACATTGTTGTACTTATAGTCAGATGACTTACTTATAGAGGTGGTCACATAGGCAAGCTTGACTGTAAGTGGTGCTGAGTTGTAAGTTAAGGTGCATGTGCTGCATTGAGAAAGTATAATTTAGACTGGAAAGACCGATATTTGCGACACCATATTTTACAACATGGCAGGAAAAGAAGGAGAATACAAAGGAAAACAATGTTTTACATCAATATATAGTATGACGTGACATATAACTTTGAATACAACAGTTGGATAGCTATCCCTACATTATTGATTAGTATTTTTATTTGCACAATGCAAACTGTTGATTTTCAAGGTAAAAAAGCGTTTATGCCCTGCATTCCAATGCTTGAGCAGGAAAGTTTGACATCCCTACCAAAACACTTCAATGCAGTACCTACTTTCCATATGGTGTGCAGCTGTTCATGGAGTTAACCCGATTAATCCCAACAGCCAATCAGCAAGAACAACCTGTTAACGAATGCTTAATAATTATGTTCCAGACAGGACAGTTCCAAAGAGCATTTGAGCACCTTGGAAATGCGCTAACCTACGATCCTGTCCACGTAAAGGTACAACTGCTATATTTTACATGTCCATAGTGTCCACTTCCATAATTAATTACACACCCTTCAATGTGCACACCCTCAAGTTGGGATGTGAACGGTTTGATGTCCGGCCTTTTGTAGCTCATTACAAAGTTGACATGATTCCTTGTATGACTTCTTTCCAGATAAAGGCTGAGGCCACATCAAAACAATAGATTTTGAACTTTTAATGAAACAAAACTGCACTGTTACATTGACAAACTTTAACAACTAGGACAAAAAGGACTTTCTTCAACCATTGGGGCCAAAATATGTCTTTCATTGAGCATTTTGCAGTTGATTTAGAACAAAAATTTCTATTTTTTTTCCAAATCAGAAAAAAATAATAAACAACAAATTAAATTGGTGTGGCCTAAAGTTATTACTGTAACAGTAACATTTTGAGTTGTGATATGATATTAAGTAGAAGTTTGCCTGTCCTGTAGGCCATCATGGCAGCAGGATCTATGATGCAGAGTCACGGAGACTTTGACGTGGCTCTCACAAAGTACCGTGTGGCAGCAGCCAGCACGCCGGAGAGTGCTCCGCTGTGGAACAATATCGCCATGTGCTTCTTTGGAAAGAAGAAATACGTAGCAGTGAGTAGAAAAATTACCATTTTTATTTTAATTTATTTATTCATTTATACAGGTTAGCATATCGCCATGTTGGCGCTTTTCAAAGCTCCCTGTGACATACATAACATAATAAAAGGTAACTTAAGTACAAGCAAAAGGTAGTTATAATAAAAGAAACAGAACAGACTAATAAAGTACAGAAAACAAACTAAATAAATATGACAAATGATATAAATGATAATGTCATGAATGAACTGAATTTGCATATCAAGGTCTAAAAACAAGATGGAAAATTAACAACAAAAAAATGATATTAACTGCTGAGTGAAGAAAGGGTGGTCTTAAAGACACTGAGTATTTTTGCATTTCTGACATGAGGAGGAAGTGAGTTCCAGAGGACTGCACCGGAACAAGAAAGCGATCTCCTTTTGTACTGCATCATGTGCATTAAGGCATCCAATGCAATTTAAGGGCAGCGATAAAAAAAATATTCTGGATGAGGAAATCTATCTGATAGTGACATTTATTTGCACATTTTCATCATCATTTTATACTTGTGTTTGAAAAACAAGCCTGTGAGGCATCTCCTTATTTTTTGGTACATGCCACACAAGAATCAAGAAAGAAAACAAGCAACCGTTTGCCATCAGCTGCAGTAACATCATTTGTTTGCCTCACAGATACATGTATCAGTATGCTGTGTGATAGGATTGATTTACATGTAATTTGGTTGAAGCTCCTTGACTATACACTACAAAATGAACAGACAATTGAATTAGAATTTTTTTGCCACCCAGAAATTACACTGGATGTCTTTAACAAACATGCAAGTGTTTAAATGAAGCTGTGTGTGATGTCAAGATATATGAGTGAGAAACATAATGTCACATAAACTCACAAGTTTCACAGATGCTCGTGTCTCTTAAGTCTTATATTTTTTATTGCTTAAGCTTATGTTTTACAGTAATTAGGATGTTAAGCATTATTCTGTTTGTCTTTATTTTGTAGTATAGTTGTTGCCATACCAGGGCTTGAAATACTGGGTGCATCCACCTTAGTACAGGTAAAATTGTCTATCTGCTGGCATTTACCACCTACAATGTAAAAGGTATAAAAAAAAATAATGGCAATGGTTTCTGAACAGTTTTAGTATGAACCCTACTTTTATAGGGCTGGAAATACTGGGTGCATGTGCACCTTAGTGCACCCAAATTTGGAGCTGTGCACCCAATTTTTTTCTGTAGGTGCACCCAAATATCTTCTTAGGTTAAACGTTAAACCTAATGCTGTTTGTTGTGTTTAGGCGATCAGCTGCCTGAAGCGAGCGGTGTACCTGGCACCGTTTGACTGGAAGGTTCAGTATAACCTGGGGCTGGTCCATCTCACCATGCAGCAGTACGCCTCTGCCTTCCACTATCTCAGCGCTGCCATCAACATCAGGCCCAAAATGGGAGAACTCTACATGCTCCTAGCAGGTCAGCAACATTACAGCTACAATGTAGTGCTGTGTACCTAAACTAGTGCTGCATACCGGTTCACTGGACTTGGATCCGGACTTGTAAGAATGTTTAGGTTCAAGTAAAAAAAAAATCTAAAAGTCAAGAACCGAGTCCGGACTTATTACCATAAAAGACCATTTCACATACCCCTTTTCTTTCCAAACCACCTAAAACCTCCCGTAGATTGCAAAATCTATGCTGCAAAACGAAGGACCTAATCCGCATGCACTCATGCACACAAAACAGCTTAAGAAGTTCCACCTACCTCATGCTGACCTCATCACTGTGTATATATGCTACGTCCGACCGATAGTGGAGTATGCCGCACCGGTTTGGAGTTCTTGTCTCACAAAAACCCAGTCAAAACAGCTCGAAGGTATCCAGCGCCGAGCGTGTCGTATAATCCTCGGCAATCAGTACACCTGCTACCTGGAGGCCTGCTCCGAACTGAGTCTACCTACGCTAGAATCCAGGCGGGAAGAACTGTGCACGAAGTTCGGGAGAGGACTGCTGAACTCCCCCTGTACCGGAACTGGCTACGTCCATACCGTGGGGAAGTCAGCTCACGTCACACCAGAACTTCTACTAATCTGGATACAATTCTCACAAAGACTGAAAGATTCCGCAATAGCTGCATTCCTTACTTGGTACGACTGCTAAACACATGTAACTAATAGTTCCCTTTTTAATAATTGTTAGTAGCAATTTTAACGTTGTACGTACACGTAGCTTTTATATAATATATGCATTATTACGCTCTAAAATATTTTAAAGAATCGTGTCGCATTTTAACCATTGTATGTGTAATTTCGAAATTTTAATGTGTATATCAGTAATTCGTGTCGTCGTGAGTACCGTCCCACGGTGACCACTTTGTATATTTGTTATTTTGGTCAAGGGTAATTAATTTTTTTAACTAATTAGCACATTGTAGTTACAACCAATTCAGAGCCTATGCCCTGCGAGATGTAACATGTGCAAGACGAACAATAAACCAGTATTATTATTATTAGGTCCGGATTCGGATGCAGCACTAACCTAAACCCACATTTAGGTTCACAATCCTAACGTGCGGCCTACCCCAAGGCACCGTCCTAGCTCCGATCATATTCGTCGCCATAATCAACTGTGCTACAAAGGACGTACGCGCGAGAGATTGGAAGTTCGTGGACGATCTCACCATCATAGAGTGCAGACTGTTACACCAAACCTCCCACCTACAAGAGGACCTAGACACACTTGAGCGGTGGTCTTCAGAGAGTTTCATGAAACTCCACCCAGCAAAATGCAAAGTAATGCATGTATGCTTCGCCTGTAACCCCCCACAGTTTACATCACTGCACATCGACGGTCACACTCTCCAGGAAGTCCACGTTGCGAAACTGTTGGGCGTGTGGCTACAACAAGACCTGAAATGGGACACTCATATTAACTATGTCGTTAAACAGAGCTCCAAGCGACTCTTTCTGTTAAAACAGCTTAAGAAGTTCCACCTACCTCATGCTGACCTCATCACTGTGTATATATGCTACGTCCGACCGATAGTGGAGTATGCCGCACCGGTTTGGAGTTCTTGTCTCACAAAAACCCAGTCAAAACAGCTCGAAGGTATCCAGCGCCGAGCGTGTCGTATAATCCTCGGCAATCAGTACACCTGCTACCTGGAGGCCTGCTCCGAACTGAGTCTACCTACGCTAGAATCCAGGCGGGAAGAACTGTGCACGAAGTTCGGGAGAGGACTGCTGAACTCCCCCTGTACCGGAACTGGCTACGTCCATACCGTGGGGAAGTCAGCTCACGTCACACCAGAACTTCTACTAATCTGGATACAATTCTCACAAAGACTGAAAGATTCCGCAATAGCTGCATTCCTTACTTGGTACGACTGCTAAACACATGTAACTAATAGTTCCCTTTTTAATAATTGTTAGTAGCAATTTTAACGTTGTACGTACACGTAGCTTTTATATAATATATGCATTATTACGCTCTAAAATATTTTAAAGAATCGTGTCGCATTTTAACCATTGTATGTGTAATTTCGAAATTTTAATGTGTATATCAGTAATTCGTGTCGTCGTGAGTACCGTCCCACGGTGACCACTTTGTATATTTGTTATTTTGGTCAAGGGTAATTAATTTTTTTAACTAATTAGCACATTGTAGTTACAACCAATTCAGAGCCTATGCCCTGCGAGATGTAACATGTGCAAGACGAACAATAAACCAGTATTATTATTATTAGGTCCGGATTCAAGTCCAGAGGTTTAGGTTCAGTTCCGGACTCGCAAGTCCGGACCTAAACCCATGGCATATACAAAATAGCATGTTGGCAACCTTGCAATGTTGTCTGGGTGAAACTTTGGCCACATAACATGGAGGCCGGTACTTGACGATGCCCGATGGCAATGTTTTCTTCATTTTGCAGCAAGGAAGCAAAGATTTTGCAATCTACAGAAGGTTTTAGGTGCTTTGGAAAGAAAAGGGGTATGTGAAATTGTCTTTTATGGTAATAAGTGCGGACTCGGTTCTTGACTTTTTTTTTTATTTGAACCTAAACATTCTTACAACTCCGGATCCAAGTCCAGTGAACCGGTACACAGCACTAATTACAGCTCACAGCTCAATTTACATACGGCTAGAGTGGATGAATGAAGACCTTTATTGTACACATATACCCACTGGGTTAATCAGGGCTCGAAATTCATTTTTTGGAATATATAGGTGCACTGGTGCACCCAACTTAAAAAATTAGGTGCACAAAAAATGTTTTGCGTGCACCATATAAAACAAAACCTAATTACAGATCTTACTGCTCCTCTTCTGAGCTTGAATCTGAAATGGAAGCTAACTTCAAAATCCTAAAAATTATTCCAACAAAGATTTTGTTATTTTTCTGACACTGATGCCAAGATTATCCTGCATACTATTATACATTTGATATGACCAAAAATACCTACAAAAATATTTGGATGCGCCAGTGCACCCACAGAAAAAAATTGGGTGCACAGCTCAAAATTTGGGTGCACTAAGGTGCACATGCACCCAGTATTTCCAGCCCTGGTTAATTAAGTACAGGTCACAATTAACAGGAGAATAGAATACGGATAACATTACATATTATGTAATACTATACATGTATACGTTGTCACGTAATGACAACTACTGTATGTGATTTCAATTTCTCCTTACTTCTTAGTAATGGTAAAAAGGTACATGTAACACAGGCTACTGTGCCATTAGACAACAAATTATATGGTAGGGAAAGATTTGCTGGCTTTTCTTAATAAGTATTTGTAGCTTCTTCCACAAGAAAGACTTTGTGTTTCCTCATGTCCATGTAGTTGCGCTGACTCATCTGGAGGATGAACAGAACGCCAGAAGAGCCTACGAGCAGGCAGTCCTCTTAGATCAGTAAGTCCTGTTCCTTCTAGCCTTGTTATCTAGTATCAATTTTCTCTCATGAGGTAGTCTATTCTTTTCTGGACCTCTGACCTCCAAATGCGTTATTTTTATATGAATTAAAGACCTTTATTGTACATTTGTGCTCTTAACAAGCTAAGTACAGGTCATGAATAGACAAGGAGAAAGATACAGCAATTGCACTTAAACTATACATACTAATGTGATCTACTATTTACATGTTCAACTTCTTCTCGCTTCTTGACGCAGTTAAATATGTGCGAGCATATAGAACTAATAGTACATGATTTGTCAAGACTTTCATAAGAAATCTGAATTTTTCTACTTCATTTTTATATACACATATGTACTTAATTGGAATGATATAGGTTAAGTCTTTATGATTGTTTTCGTATTTCACACTGTATTTGAAATTATGTGCCCTTTGTGTTTTGTCCTTATATGTTGACTCTCTAATATCAGCTTTGCTGCCTTGAGAGTCAGTGTAATGTCTTGTTGCATTTTTCAATAAATAAATCAGTAAGTCACTGCAGCGATGGGCAAGCAGACTGACATGCCTTTATTCCTGATTGAAAATGGTTAAGTACACAAGAACAGTTACTCAAGCAACTGGATAGAAAATAAAACTGCCAGATATTTCATGTAGCATCCACTACTTTTCATCAGTGATCGACTGTCTGTAGTTAGTTGACACTACTGTAATGTAACAGTCACTGATGAAAAGTAGTGGATGCTACTTGAAACGTTTGACAGTAGCCTATCCAGTTACTGTTGTGTATAAAATTATATATCTACATGTATTATTACCTGGATTAATGGACTTTATTGTTTCATAATGAAAACTGCTTCCTGCTGACAACAATATACACTAGCTGTAGTATGGGGAGGATATCTTTGCACACTTGTCCCTTGGCTTTTTTTGCCTGGTTTGGGCACATTTTTACAGTGTTTCAGCAGATCAATTGTCTAGGTTGGATCAGGGATCAATTCTCAAGCACATGCAGTTAGGCCACAGCAAGTAATTTTTATGGATGACATCCACGCGCGCATTTATTTTTCCCTGATTTTGGGGGAAAAAACAAGAAATTTTGTTGCCTTCTGACAGTGGTCAACATGCGGAAAATGGGCAAAGATGTCTGTTGCCATGCAGGAACGTGGATGGCAGATAACTATGAAGAGAGGAGACAAGAAAAGGCTCTGATTTAATGTCTTGTTTCTTACTTTGATGCAGTGATATGTGATACTCGCTGTGTATATGCGATGTTCCCACTGAATCAAAACCATTTGTACCATGATTGAGACAAAATTTTACAATGTAGGAACCTTGTTTTTTTCGGCCCGTCTTGTTATTTTTTCGCCCGCTTGCATTAGATTTGGAGTCTGTGGAGGATGTCATCCATAAAATTTACTTGCTGTGGCCTTACTGTAAGACACTAGTCCTGTCACACATTCAGAACCTTCTCCCAAACACCAACCAACCATGCAAGGCTGGCTGAACGTCAAGCAGCTGCCTGACTAGATATATACCACACCTACCTTTTTATACGGATCGAATCAAACTTGAGTTGACTTGAGTCAAATTTGATATTGTCAAACACTGCTGGACCTACTGCCAAACACCAGCCAACCATACGTACACATCAGGTCCACAGGCTTTAGGGAGAATGTTGTAATTTGGAAAAACAAAAATGAGTTTGTGATAGCAAATTAGTGCTAGTCATATATAATCATGATTTTTTTTTCTCCAAGGAAAAATGCGGCTGTTAACCTGAACTACTGCATCTTCCTGATGAACCATGGAGAGCGGAAGGCAGCTGTTCGCCAGTTCTCTGTGTTTGAACAGAAACTTCAGGAGGCCAGAAAACACTCCGCAACTGTGGACCAAGAGGTCAGCTCCACTTTTAACTATTTTACCTGGTTTTAGAAGTTCAAATATCTGGAAGAGGAACTTAAACAGTTTGAGTAGTGATAGTGTGTGTAGTGGGTTAGCGACCCTGCCTCTGAACCACGAGGTTGGGAGTTCGAATCCTCGCTCCCCCAGCATGCATGCTACTAGAAAGGGTCGCAGTCCTCAGGACAGGACATTAAGCTGTGGTCCACTGTTCAGTGTGCTTGTAAAAGAGCTATGGGGGGATTTTCTGGGTACTGTGAGCTTGTAAATACTGTACATAGCGTCTGTCTTTTCTATCACGACCAGTGGAAGAATAGCTGAGTGAGCTAAACCTGGAAAGAAATTCCTTTTTTTCTTTCCTAACGGTGTCTTGGGATTTTCTGCATATTCTGTACATTCACATGCCCCGTAGCCAGAACCCCCCTACAAGGTTCAAAAGTCCACTTTTTGGTCCACATTTTATCTAAAGGTCCAAGATTTTTCTTTAAAAGATCGACAGTCACTGATTCGTATCACTAGAGGGGCTAGAATCGTAGAAAAACTGCTCCCTCTATCATTGAATAAAAAGTTTTCTCTGATTTTTTAGTTGAAATCCTCTCAAAAATGCAGGAAATGCCATTTCAAAAGGTTCATTTTTCAAAATCTCAGGGGGAGCATGCACCCGGACCCCCTAGGAACCTCGCGCCTTACCCCCCATTCAAAATCATGGCTACGGGCATGATTCACACAAAAACAGAGGCTAATTGGAAGGTGGGGAACTGTGCATTCAATATCATGATCTTCTGTTTCAGCTGCTGGACATGGCAGCACGGCTGGGTCCTTCTCTACACTTGGGTGAAAATCTGGTGTGGAATAAACAGCAGGGGGCCGACACAGCCAACTCCCAGCACCCCGGGAAGGCACCCGTGCCCGCTGCACACACAAACGACGTCCCACCTCCAGCAGAGGACAGGGAAACAACCCTGCCAACAGCGCCCCCTGCTGAACTGCAGCCAACTGCACCTCCTCCTGAACCAGACCTGGACGCCTTACCCAGCCCCCCCTCCCACCCTCTGGAGGAGGAGACAAGCAGCAGGAGAGAGAGAGTAGCAGTGCCGGCAGACTGAGGCCAGGAACATCATGCAGGGTTGGACAAGTTTTCAAAAATCTGCTTTCAAGTACATGGTCATTTCTACTTGTTCGAACCAAGTTTTCACTTTCCCAAAATATAAATGTCATATTTCCTTGCATTTTGACTTGCAGTAGCAAGGAAATTATTCTAACTTCAGTATGAAAGCAAATTGGTGGTTTGAGAGGAAAATACTGGGGCATAAGGCCACACCAATTTAATTTATTGGTAAACGGATTTTTCTACAAAAATAATGGAGCGGGCGGGCGAAAAAAATAAAAAATAAAAACAGGCCTAGGCATCCTATTATGGCCCAAAATGGTACGATAGGAGCCATAAAGTCAACTCACCAGGCTGGTTCAAAATTTAAACAATGAATTTTGAACTTTTAATGATACCACTGCATTGAAAGATGGAATGCCTGTAACAAGTAGTAAGAAAAGGACTGTTTTCAACTGCCCAGGGCAAAATATGAGCATTTTGCAGTTGATTCTGAATTTTTATTTTTATTTGCAAATCAGAAAAAAAATGAAGCGGCGAATCCGTTAACCAAGAAATTAAATTGGTGTGGCCTAATGCCACATAAAAAAATTACAGTACTTGCCCAATCGGGCAAGTCCAGGGCAATATGCACTTGCCCGAACAGTCCTTTTACTTGCCATGAGCAAGTGGGCAATTGGACTTGTCCAACCCTGAACATGTGGCAGGAAAGTTTGTGTCAAGTTAAAGACATCCAATGCAATTTCTGCATGGCAAAACAAAAATATTCTGGGTGAGTTTTCTGTCTGATATTGACATTTACTGACATTTCTTATCACATTTAGGTTATCAATTTATACTTGAAGCATGTGAAATAGACCCAAAACATTTAATGATTGGTACCACCAATAAACAGCTAGGACCAACGTACTACAGGGTAGTATCATATCAAACAAGGAACAGTTACTGTTTTCCGTCAGTGACATTGCATTTTCTCCTCACATATGCTGTGGGATAGGGCTGATACAACGTACTCTAAAAGGGGGCCCGCAACTCCTTCTCCGTAGAGCGTAATTGGCCGTTTTAATTCTACGTAGAGCGTAGACGGACCGCTCTAATATTTTTGTGTAGAGCTTATTCGGTGTTTTAATTCTACATAATGCATTGTAGCCACTTTATCTACAGTGTAATCGAGAGGTTTCCGAATTCAGCGTAGAGCGTCGTCGGGACCCCCCCTTGCAGGCCCTCTTAAAAGAATGACCAGCAAATTTACTTGAACAATCCATTTTTGCTGCCCTGAAATTGTGTTAACTTAGATGCCTTTAATTCAAGGTCTGGTCAACACCAGAAAACTTCTCACCGAGTACTTTTGTGTTTCTATTGTGTACTGTAATGTTTTTTGTCACATACATGTAGAGCTGAACTTGAATGTGGTACATGTACATGTTTGTTGATGTGTTGAATGTAGAGTATACAACAACAAGCAGAACTGTCGTTAGCCCTCACCCTTCTAAATGACCATGAACATGTAGGAATCCATACTGCATGGATAACATTATACATGCACATCCTGATCCTTTATATAATATTTCAGTGGCTTTTAAAAGCTTGTAAGAAGTACTTGTGAAATGATGTTGATCCGAATCATGTTATAGACCTCAACACCTGTATGATAATACTGCTTTGTGTACCTTTTTGTTTAAACAGTGGCACAATCACAATGGCAACATTGGCAATGGCATCCTGCCTAAAAAGCTACAATTGCACAGTTTCTACTTAAATTGTAGTTATTAATTACGTTTGCCAAGAAAGTTATGAATACAGTTTGTGCGATAAATATTTATAGATTATGCAAGTTAGACTATACCTTCCTAGTTAATTAAAGGACAGATAAAGTGATTTCAGTTTTGGAGCCATTCAACCCCAAATCCTGCCTTCAAAAGGTTTTTCAGTGGCCTCCACCAGTCTCTCACACACTAGTGTGACACCTGACCCAAATCAATGCCCACAGCCGAAGCCTGAACTAATCTTCCAGGCGGCACAGCCAGATTGACTTGTTCTGCGGAGCACAACAATTGTTGCTTTGCACATACATGTACAGTACCATCTATAGCATCCTGTATAGGTCTGATTTGGGGGTATTTCTCGTGCAACGCATCACACCGCAGCGAAATGCAACGAATGCAGAAGTAACTACAGTATGCCACTGAAGAGCAAAAAAAATTGGGGGTCTATGATCAAATTAAGACATGAAATTTTATGAAAAATGTTGTGCCAGGAATGTCAGGAGGACAAGGGTTAAGACTGGTGACGTAGGTTGTCTAGAGAACAGAGCGCAGCCATTACCTCTAGTATAGGTCTAATTATCGTCATCATCTAATTTGGGATAATATATGACGAATGTGATTATAGAAGGACTGACATGCAGACAATAGCGTACCAAATTCTCCCCTGGCTGATTCTCTGGCTGCTATTTTTCCATGTCTTTTTGATGGAGATATGTACATTTACCTGCGTTAACAGGTAGAGTATTAGATTATTTTAATCTAATACTTAGAAGTAGACCTCCGTCTGCAATGAACCAGGTCGGCACCAGCCGTGAACATGGATTCTGGCCAGACACCGCCGTGTGTGGGACCAGCAGAAACCAGTGAATCACCCCATGGAAACAGGATTTGGGGTTGTCAACAATTCAGAAATGAATGAGTTTATTTCTCCTTTAATGACTGAGACAAAAAAAAACAACACAAGATATTACAGAAATTTGTTGTACTGATGAAGAGACATGATAGAGGCCTTATTTTATTTTTATTTTATTTTTTTTTATTCTATGACGATTTACCACATTTGTGGAAGGATTGACATAACAGGTGACTATCACCTCTTCAAAGATGTCAACCCCGAGACCAGACTGTAAGGTTTGAACCACTCACACCGGGAAGGTCCCCTACTCTTTTCGATAGTGCGGTGGGTTCTTTAACGTGCGTGGGGTGTGGCTCTCCCAAACACGGGACCTCCATTTAACGTCCTATCCGAGGAACGTCCCTAGCCGAAACTAGGTACTCATTTACACCTGAGTGAAGTGAGGAAAGTCGTGTAAAGTGCCTTTCCCAAGGGTACAAGATCGGTGACATGGTGACACGACCTCTCGGGTGTGAGCCGAACGCGCTACCGACTGCGCCACACGACCCCACCTTCCATAGGAGACAGACATAAAATATCTAATATATATTCTTCACTGTTAAGGGATTACGAAGCAGATACCCTGTCATAGTTTCACGTACAGTAAGGCCATGTTGATTTGATTATATGGATGACATCCTCCGGGAACCCCAAAATTGATGCGCGTGTGCGAATAAAAAAAAAGTTTTGAAAAAAAAAGTTGTTTTCATTATGAAATCTACGTGGTCATGAGGGTTGAACAAATGGGACAGAATATGGTTTGGCGAATAATCTACTCTTCAAGTTCATTTCTTTACGATTTCGTCTTTTTTCGTTTGATTTTGGCATTCTGCGACATTGGTATGGTTTTTTTGTAACTTACGGTATATTTTTGTACGATTTTGTACAACTGTTTTGTACGATTTACAGTTTGGTTGAAAACTTTTTTTTTTGAAACGGCCAAAAATTCATGCGCGCGCGGATGTCATCCATATAATCAAATCAACATGGCCTAATCAACAAATCCATCAGCTCCTAACATCGGGAGGTTATTTATGTAACACAGGCTAGCTAACGCACATGCCAAGCCCATGTGTTCTTTTGTTGGATGAGCATGAATGACAAAACAATATGCATGTATTCTGACGCTCATGTCTTTGCTCCATCCAAATAGAAGATTTCCGACTTAACGGTTTCACAACAGATTCTTGTTCAATATGATCAACCTGGACAGGGAACTACAAATGCTGTTTTACTAACATAATACGTAGGTAAAGGTTTATTTATTTATTTCGAAAATTGCGACATTCACAATACAGTGGCCACCCTGGCAGCAGAGCTGATGGCGGGGGCCACAGACAGACATGACTACATGACTATACATACATTGTAGATTAACATATAAGTTATTATATTTACAATACTAATTAAAATGGGTAAATTTTAGTTGGAGGTCAGAGGTCGAGAATCCGTACAGTGGAAATAATAGGCAAGTGCACTAGACCAAATGAACAGGTGGAAGGACACGTTAGAAGCGTTTTGTTTGCAGGATGTAGACCTGAAGAGCGGCCGAAATGTTTTGGTTTGTAGAGATGTTGTGACCTGGAAGACCATTGAGGAGCATGTTGGTGGAGAGGGATTGATCCACAACGCTACGTACAGCAGTGGCAAGTGTTTGCCTTGCGTCCTTGTGCAGAGGGCAGTGGAGGAGGTAGTGTGCGACTGTCTCAGACTTAGCACCACAGCTACAGCTGCGTGGGGTCAAGTTGAACTTGACGAGTGTAGAGTTGAGCTGAGACCAGTCAAGACGCACGTTATCTTTATGCTTAGACTGTCTTAGAATATACAAATCAAGAACCAATGTAAATAATGTGCTATCTTGTAATACAAGGCATTTTCACAACTACTGAGAACCGTAGTCGAGGTTAGATTTTGGGTGCTGGTATTGTGCTAAACAAACAATACAAGCATGCAAGTAAATGTAATTGCTTTGCTGGTTACGTTGGGATTTCTGTGGACAGGGTGTTTTTGTTTACCGGATGGATGTGAAGTTAATAAGGCCAAGTACAGCTCTATGGTGACCCTTTGCTGACGTCACACGTGGGAAAAATCACGTGTCCACAGCATTTGGGTCAGATAGCTGAGGAAGACTGAGTGATTCGGTCGAAAATTTCTGGTGAGTCAAATTTTGAGTTGGAGTAAAGTAAAGTTCATTTCTATGTTATGTTTTGTCACTTTTTTTCTAATACTTGGTTCATATCAAGTGTCATTATAGTTACAAATTTCAATGCAGAATTGCTGACATTGGTTTACACAAATATGCATGTGGTTGACGTGTACATTAGATGGCATTTAATGAAATTCTTGTCCAATTCATTATAACAGCTTGACTTTTGTTCTTTAAGATATCTGATGATAAGTGGAATGGAAAAATGAAGAGAAAAAATAAATTTTGCCCAGTTGCGGTAATTTCCAGTGTCTTTGTCATTTGTGTTGATCAGTTCAATATAGAGAAAATGATCGAATTGATTTCAAGAAAAGACATATAGTATTTAGGTAGAA